GTCCTACATCTGTGACGTTTTCATTATAGGAATTCTATATGAATTAGTAGTAATGATTCACATCCAAAAACTATTCCTAGGCATCGACGGGATGTTTTGATGTTGACAATTTGTAATGGATTCAGTTTCGATTTGTGAGGTTGTCGAATTATAATATGGAGTTGTGTCATAGTTTGTGTTCTTATTACCCATCCGTGACATGTTAATGTAATGTGAATCAGTTGTGAATCATTTGTTTCATTTTGTTCTGGATTTTATGTGTAAAAGTACAAGAAAAGACTATTCCCATGGTAACAAGAAATGACTACTAAAACAGTGTCAGCCCTTGTATCGTGAGTAGTATGGACTGGTGGACTTTCATCTCTATAAACCATACAAAGTAAAACATACCAAGTGAAAAAAAGTCAGTCACTAAAAGTAATGAAAACGTAAGATAAAGAAAACAACAATTCATGACCAAACAATAAGACCCCAGGAACTCAACTTTTTCGAAATGTGTTTTCTGTTACTTTAACCCTGGCCGGGTTTGGGGAAGGGAAGTTTTATGATTAAAGGAATCATGTTTTTAATCCGCTATCGAACCGTTCTCGGCCTGTATATTCCAGCTGAATGAGACTGTAGTAGTCTCTGTAGTACATACAGTAGTACAGTATATACTACATAGAACAGCGAGCTTAAGGTACCGGGATCGAGCCCACTTGTTGCCAGGTGTGAAGGAAAACCTTGGAGTCAAAGTGCGCAGACTTTTGCAGTTTTGTCACAAGCCCTAGTATACAGTACACGACCCTGTGCACTTAAAAGAACCACGAATCAGTTGGTACATGACCAGATGGTGGCCACATGAATGCGTGCAAACACCCAGGTGCGAGTACAGCAACGTGCAGTAAACTTGGCTATGTGTCAAAGTCCACCCAGCTGGAAATGGGTACCTTGTAAGGATGGGAAAGCCACATTAACTTGGTGCGCCTAATGGCTGCAAGAGTTGTATAGTCCCCAGGGAGTTGAGATTAAAAATGCGGTGTGCTGTTGAGATTGTCATCCAATGATCGAGGGAAACAGTGCGCCTTTGAGCAGCTGAGCTGGATATTGGCGCTATACAAATATTAGTATGTATGCAGTTATTCAACTTAGAATAAAAGTTGTTTAACAAACGATCATAGTTTCAAATTGCTATTATTGGTTTGTATTACAAGGGGGTAAGCGCAGTAGTTGGAATAGTGAGAGCAGCAGAGAAAATCATTTGACAAAATCATGCACACTCCGCAAACCGATATATTGTGATGTATCAATACACGTCAACTCGCATCTCCATTTCTGATAAGTAACACAGTGAAAACTATAACCCATAAAATATCTATGTATAAAGCAACATTTGTAGCCGACAGAGGACATCCAGACATGTCATACGCTCGTCTCCTAAGTGTGTGACCGCCTCCGTGGTGTAGTGGTTAGAGCGTTAGCCCGGAGAGCGGAAGGTCGTGGGGTCGATCCCCGACCGCGTGAGACCAAAAGACGTTAAAATATGCTACTTGTTGGTCATTGTCTGGCGCTCGGCAGTAATGGGTAAAACAAGGGCTGGTCGTCTCGAAGTCAGTATAATGTGTCTGAGTATTCATGCTTCACTGCGGCATGGTATCTCAGTGAGATAGCACTATAAAACCAGCTTCAGTCTGGGCTGGTACTAGCAGCCACACATACACACGCATACACGTCGTCATATGAGAGAAATAATATTAAGTACGACGTTAAACCCCAAATGGATGTTGTATACCTGCCCCAAAACGATATAAGAATCTGCACAACGATACAAGAATCTGTATCGATCGAAACGACGCATCACCTGGATACAGAAGTTGTTCATCCATAATGTATGTCTTTATTCAACTTAAATGTTAAAATGTTTAAAATGCATCAGTTGTGGTTAGTGGTCGCCTTGAGTTACTGGTCCCCTTGAATTACTGGTCCCCTTGAGTTCGTAATTTCCTAAAGCTGAAATACGTTTTAAAGCAGCTTCAGCCGAGTCTCACGGCCTTAAAGTGCTGCAACAGCCCTATTCAGGATTACACCTTCCATCTATTATTATAGATTAATCGCTATACATTGTTGAAATGTAAGTGTTTGTGTGATAAATATCCATGTATTATTTTGCACAGCGTAATTGAATATCGATGCTGACAGTAACTTGTATTTCATGTATTCGACGGGGCGGTTGGGTAGCCTAGTGGTTAAAGCATTCGCTCGCCACGTTGAAGACCCGGGGTTTTATTCCCCACAGGGGTTCAGTGTTTGAAGCCAGATTATTGTCTGGCAATGACGTCATAAGTCTGCGTCTGTGTGTCTGCAACACTGTGCGAAATAGTTTCCAAATTTTGCTAACCAGTCGGTCCAGCTATGCCTGAAAGTTACTAGCCCACAAAATAGCTCACAAGCCCGAAATTTGAATGTAGAAACTAAACAAAAGATTACAAGCATAGATGAGAATAGGATATTGTCGGCGTAACACGGATTTCATCATTAAGCTGCTAATATGATGAACATTTTAATCAGGCCATAATCTTGCATGATTTAAACTGTATCATAACTTAACAAGTCGGAGATAGTGATATATTTACAAAATGACCCCATGAAAATTCATTAACCAGTCGGGCCAGTGACTGTGGAGATTTACTGGCCCGACTGGATTTTTACAAGCCACGGGCTAGCGGGCCAGTGACTATTTCGCACACTCGTCTGCAACCATCCAGGACGTGGTCATTTCAGGACATCACTGATGTGACCTTCCGACGTCATACAATCTGCAGAAAATGATATCAAGCGTTGGATGGTATCCACCTTGTCCGTTCCTGTTATGTTACATATTCTTCGAAAAAAGCATTATCAAAAAAGACACGAGTCCTCAAACCACCAAGGAAGGCGATCATTTGAGAAACTTTATCTGTGGTGACGTATGGACATGGCGATAAAGGAGGAAGGATACTCTGTTTCGAGCGATATACGAGGACAAGGGGGGGGGGGGGGGTTGTCTTCACTAACACGCCACTTCAATACGTCACAACGGATTCTATTTCTTTACCGTAAAAGTATCACTTCCGAGAAGCGTTTTTTGTTAGAGATGTGAAGGATGTTACAGATTGACGCACCAGTCACAAACAATTGTATTCCTATTTGGTTTGCATCATATGCTACCGCGTTATTCACATTTGTCATCTTCTTTGAGACGCTGACATTGTAAGATCAGGATCCGATTTTCTTTTGTCGAACACCTGGTGTCAATGCCGCTGAAATTGATTGTGGTTCATACACACATGGTCATGATATAGTTCGTATCGTGCAATCGTTTCTGGTAGATTTCGTCTGAATACGGCGCGGTAACTTTTCTCTTTTCGCAAAAAGACACCTATGTTTTAAATACGACCCCAATGTCTCGAACTCGGTTGAGACGAATTCTTGGTTGTGTCGAACTCATCTCTCCGTCGTAGAAAAACGATTTTGTAAGCATCGTGTTGGTACTTGGTCATTTCTATGCTGACGGATGTGTCGAACACTCTGACAAGTCGAACTTTTCGACACAGCGGGGTTGACTGCAGTTAGGACCTGTGTGCAGTGACAGTGAACGTGTAAACCCCATTGTGGGCTAAGCTCGATTGATGCCTTCAAGATGTGACTTTGTATGACTCCACTGGTCAGTATTGGTCCCTTAAACCTATTGGACATCCTCCACGGGCTCCAGTTCTCTGTCCTTTTATGTATCGTGTATTGTATCGTCCATTCAACGGAATAATTCACGACAATAATTGATCACAACTAAATCTCGTCAACTGATACCATTGACTGAGAGGATGGTGTAAATTCTGCTGAGATCCAGGAAGAAAGTAACAAACATGTCTGTCCTCATGGTCCGTTGTGTGGGGGCCTTCATTCAATTTCTCGCAATCGTTAGCCAATGTTTATATTGTGTTGTTGATTAATAATTTATTCATTTCAATATTTTCAACTGGTTTAAATTACTGTGATATTCAAGTTAATATACTGACCATCGATGTCGGGATTATATTCTGACTAATCGTATTTGAAATTAGTATTTACACCTAACTTCTCGTCACTCTATGATGGAAGTACTGTCACTCACTCACAATGTACAGAATTAAAGTAGATTACAAGAAACAAAATATATGCTTGATACTGATCCACCCCCACTTGTCGCCATGGGTTCCAGGTATACATGCAAGAGATGCACTTTCTTAAAATAATGGATCTGGAAAGCCCGCATATACCGAAAAATAAGGAGATTAACTGAAAGCCTTGACAGATGAGAAATGAATATACATGCAAAATTCAATATCTGATATGTGAGACGCGAATGTGTTATGACTGCATGTAAAACACTGAATATTGGCTTCAGAACACGTAAATACAGTGTCACTAATTAGTCTGATGCTTCGTTAATCTACTAATCCGTATGATTTCGCCGTGAGGGTGCCATTCTAGCTGTGGGGTTTCACTGGCGAAACAGAAGGGAAGCCACACACAAGTTTACTATATTTACGCAATGACGACCGAGGACAAAGCTAAATGTATTTAATATCAGGAATTCCCTTCCACTGAAACGTTTGGTAATTTAATTCTGTAAATGATACCCACAGGGGATATTTCAAAACGTTACCTGTGACTACATTTTCCGTTCTCGAAATACATTATAAGAAGTGTTTCACAAGCCAGACACGTTTTATATTAATAGCGCAAGGTTTTCAAAAGCGAAAGTAGAGTGGCTGTGTCTATATTACCGAAATACGGAGTTAACAATTTATCAATTTCTGTTCACTGCCTTTCTCAATAGTGTGATGTGCACGAAGGAACGCGATAATATTCACCATAATATCTTTACAACCTTCAAAATCTTTTAGGCGATACCGGAAGAAGTAAAAAATCCGATGAAGTCAATTCCCGAGGATTGTATGGGAAAACCTCATTGCTATATTTAGACTGGAGATGGTGAGTGTACTCATTGCGTGGTTTTAATTTGGAGCTGTAAGCAGTAATATATACCAACTTCGGAGTGTCAATCTACATAGTCTACTGATAAGGAGGCAGTCATGTCGGACACCGCTTCGTCCGTCAACCCTGACGCCGCCGAGAACGGCGTCGGGACAGCCAGCCATCGTTGTTCTTGTGGGAGCACATGTGCGGCGCTAGCACTGACAGTGTCTGTGTGTGTTAATGTTATATTTGCGGTGTTGATTTTCCTTGGCAGTGCCACAGAACAAGACACACGGGCTATTACCTCAGCACAGACCACTGACCAGGCTATTGATGGGTCAACTGTGTGTTCAGATTGTCGCAACTTCAAACTACCAACTGACCAGCTGCAACTGAACACACATATCCAGGTCGTTCAAACGAAAAATGGCAACGTGTGCTGTCTTCGTCAGGCAGAAGGGCTTTGGAGGCTGTTAAATCTGGTAAGGCTCGGCATAATCTCTAAATATTTCCTGAATACACACTGTAAATTACCGTTACTTGGGTACCGCAGGAAAGTGAGTGAGTGAGTTTAGCTTTACGCCGTTGGAATACGCCGTATTCCAACTATGGCGGCGGTCTGTAAATAATGGAATCTGGACCTACACAATCCAGTGATCAACAGCATGAGCATTGATCTACGCAATTGTTATACAACGACATGTGTCAACCAAGTCAGCGAGCTTGACCACCCGATCCCGTAAGTCGCCTCTTACGACAAGCATGGGTTACTGAAGATCAATTCTAACCTGGATCTTCACGGTTTGCCACAGGAAGGTGTGTGACTGAGGAAAGTGTGTGACTGAGGAAAGTGTGTGACTGAGGAAAGTGTATGACTGGGGAAAGTGTGTGACTGAGGAATGTGTGTGGTTTAACACCTCTTTCAGCAATGATCGAGTAATGATCGTCGATAGACACCAACAATGTCCTTCATACATGGCATGGGTGTTAGACACGGAGTATCAACAGAATAAGCAAATCCCTAACGTCACGTCAATGTTTTGTGAAACGACAACCTATTTGAGTGTCGACTACTTCAAGTGCAAAACTACAACAACTTTGATTTATGTTGAGTTGGTTTGAGTATTTTATTGTTCGATAAATACATGGGGATGTTTTGCATTTGATCACGTATGTTTGTGACACTCTTTGGTCGACATTGCAGAGTGACGGTTTATGATAAACATAATGACTAGATGTTCCGATAGTCAACTTTCCTTTCAGGTCGAGTGAGTGAGTGAGTGAGTTTAGTTTTACACCGCTCTTAGCAATATTCCAGTAATATCACGGCGGGGGACACCAGAAATGGGCTTCACACATTCTACCCATGTGGAGAATCGAACCCGGGTCTTCGGCGTGACGGGCGAACGCTTTAACCATTTTATACACCGCCGCCCCTTTCATGTCGAGATGTACAGCTGGAGATTGTGGCATACCACAGTAGACAACGTGGGTAGTTCGTTATTCGGGGATGCATGTAGAACCACAATACATCTGTAATGTATAACACTTCCTTTTTCGGGGATCATTTGAACATGCGTTAATTACAGATGAATGTAAAGTCGCTGATGCAGCAGAAAAAGTCAGTTGGACGGCGGACCATGCCTCCCTCATCAGCTCATCTGTATCTTGACACAAGCACAGGTAAGCTTCATCTTCATCCTTCATCCTGGCGATTCTGAGTGTGCCTATCTGATTGACACACTGATGTAGAATACGTTTAACCTTGAAACGATATTCCTATGGCGGGTTGTTGTTTAACGCAGCTCTGAGCAATATTTCAGTTATATGACGGTCGGTGGTTGTATAAACAATTCTAGGACAAACCAGTGATTGATAATGATGAACACCGGCCATCATGATCATACATACGTACATACATACATGCATGCATGCATACATACATGCATGCATGCATACATACATACATACATACATACATACATACATATACATACATACATACATACATACATACATACATACATACATACATACATACATACATGCATGCATGCATACATGCATACACACATACATACATACATACACCTACCTACCTACCTACCTACCTACATACATACATACATACATATAATACATACTAACATTTGTAAAGCGCCGATATCCAGCTCAGCTGCTCAAAGGCGCTTTGTTTCTCCCTCGATCACTGGATGTCAATCTCAACGGCACGTCGTATTATCAATCTCAACTCCCTGGGGACCATACAACTCTTGCAGCCACTAGGCGCATGACACCGGGTTGTTCCGCTGTTTACAAGGTCACAATGCCAGACCACTTTATCTTCTCATTAAATTGCTTCAATGATGCAGCCATGCAATGCTTTATACTCCTGCTTCAGTATGTCTGTCACAATAGTGTCTTATAGGGCATATTCCTATACACGAGCATAGCCAAGCTTTTGAAATAATTTGTTTCAGGAAGCAGTATTGTATGCATTTTCCTATGTCTCTAACTAGACTTGATTATGTACAGACTGCTTGAGTATTGCCCTGAACAACGTTAAACAAAAATAAAGTGTACACATTTCTTCTTTATGATCGACTATTCTCGGAGAACCGATACTTTCGAGGAAAACAGTCAGTGCTAAATATAGAGAACGGTTACACCCAGCAACCACTGGGAAATCGAATACTTGCCAAAGTAGACAAATTGCGAAATACACTAAGCTCCCTCTGTAACGAACACAGGGGCGGTGAGGTAGCCTTATGGTTAAAGCGTTGGCTCGTCACGCCGAAGACCCGGGTTCGAATCCCCACATGGACACAATATGTGAAGCCCATTTCTGGTGTCCCCCGCCGTGATGTTCCTGGAATATTGCTAAAAGCGTCGTAAAAAGCCAAACTTAGTCAGTCAGTGTAACGAACACGTTTATAACCAACTGTGTTTTGGGTACCGACCAGATGCACGTTTATAGTCGAAATGCGCACAACCAACTAAAATTTAACATCTGACTTCGGTATAACGGTAGCTTTCTGTATGAGTGAGGATTTTGACGCGTTTACGAAGAAAATCCATGTATATCAGTGCATGTCACTACCAGGTGGGAAGTAAGACCAAAGGTTTAAAACGTTTAACCATACATGTAAAACATGTGCGTACGTGTACAACAAAGATTAGAGCGAATTCGGTTATTACAAAAACATCCTCGATACCAAGTGCTATCATAATACAGGGTTCTACATGCTGTAGGTGACACTATTTAATTTAAACTCATTACAGGATTTTCACATTTCGCATTAAATTATAGTAGTGGCGTGTACATCCTGCCTTTAAGCTCTAAATATAAAGCCAAGAAGGTTCGTGATGTGGCCTGTTTGTCCATCGTGCGTCGTCCATAGTAAATATGCCAGGAATCACGAGACAAGTGAGGCTGAAATTTCATTTTTGTTAACACTAATGATGACGCGGCAGCCATTCTGAAAACCTGTTGCTGACCATTTTGTAATCATCTGCGTTTGAAATATAATGACATTTGCAATGTACAAATGAATACATGGGATGTCATAGCAAACGTACAGAAAAATTATTGTTCGCATTACCCAGCTGTTTGTGTTCAGAATAAATAAAATGGGTGGCATACATTCAGTTATTGGTTGGAGCCAGTACATCTGCTTCGGTTTTCCCTATTTTTTTATGCATTGTTTTGACCTTTGAGTATTGAACCTTCACACAAAATGAACATTTTGCTGTGATAACCTGTTCACCTTTACAACTACCAAAGTGGAGAATCTGAACTTGGGAATGTGTGTTCTTTCCGCGTCATATTTCGTTGAACTCTTTAATAATTTGCTCCCGGAATGTAGGCAAAAATATCAACCAGAGCAACTGAAAACAGTTGCTCTGCTTTCTGACTTTTTAAAAATATTGATTACATTTCAATTATGCATACGTTCATCGGCGCTGTTCTTATTGATTCTATCACTATGACAATTGTCATAGAATGTTTACTAAATAACGTTACTATTCAGCTCCAGATTACACATGGACTGATGAATATGGATATGGAGCTGCCCACGTGACGAGCAAAGTCAAAATGGCGAATGGACGATTACAAGTTACAGAACCCGGCTACTATAACATCTACTCCTCCATAACTCTGAAAACAAGATCTGAACTTACAACTAACATCAACGTAAAACATTCAATCAGAAGAATCAACCGGCAGTCTATTCCCCATACGGATGTTATATTGTATAAGAGTGTTGAAATGTGTCGAACAAGTGAAACATTTGCTAACAGTTACCTCGATGGCGTGGTGAAACTTAATGCAAAAGATGAAATATATGTCTATGTTTCGAATACAAGTGCTATTTATAAATACCCGCAGTCAAACTTCATCGGGTTACATTTAGTGAGAAGCATATGATAAGAAGCACGTTAATAGATATGTTTTATCGTATGTACGCGCACATTTAATACATTATGTCACTGCCTAGTTTTACACCTCCGGCCGAAGGCCCGGGTTCTGGTACAATGTGTGAAACCCATTTCTGGTGTCCCCCGTCGTAATATTGCTGGAATATTGCTAAAAGCGGCGTGAAAGCCACTCACTCACTCACTCACTCACTCACATACTCACTCACTCACTCACTCACCCTTGACGATGTTTCCCTTTTTAACGTGTTCTATCGTCGTGCGAAAACATGACGGGATTAATGAAACGGACAGTTTAAACAGGTTTTTTCAGTGCAGTCATGTGGAAATTCATCCTGAATCGCGGACCTGCATATTGTCAGATTTTCTCAAATATAGATCAGTTACTTTTCCATGCAAGTTACTGGATGTTCTCAGTGATATGGATAGTGAGGAAAAATAGGAATTTAAAGTTTCTCGAGAATTATTATGTTAATTGTCACTCTTCTATTTATATTTGCAAACATTTCAACGGTATGGTAAATTTAAGCTAAAATTCGCATTTCGATATATATGGCCTCAAATTATAGACTATCAATGGTTAGAAATTCTTCATTGAAGTTCCGATTTCAATTTTACTGAGTCTTGGAGCATGCTGAGGTTGTATTCGGCAGACAGATAAGTACAGCAGCATGCGGCGTGTAACAGATGTCCACAACATAACGAGTCATATCCCGAACACAAAGAACACATCATTGTTAGTTATACCCAGCAGGCTCATGTGTTCTCAATACCAGCAGTATTATTGATCTGAAAGCTTTAACTTATACATAAATAAAACATGTTGATGGCAACACGGTTTTACAGTACCTTGTTGGTCTTATTGTAAATTAACGAAAAGCGTAATATTACTTGTTACATATTCAATAAATATATCTTTGAACCAGTTTTAATGCTTGTATATAACATGCAGTCGGTCGTGTAATACTTCCTACTTGAGCCGCACTTTGATTTAATGAGTTGTAACTCATTTGTATCCAAGAAAAGGATTGACGGATTGTAAGTTTGAACCCTATTCCCCACCCGTGAAGATCCCGGTTAAAATAGATCTTCAGTCAGTCATACTTGTTGACGCATGATCACTGGATTGTCAGGTCCGGACTCGATTAGTTACAGACCGCCGCCATACAACTGTAATATCGATGAGTGCGGCGTTAAACAACAAACAAACTATTAGTAATCAAATCATTGATTTCCATTCTTTGTTTGTCTGCACCATGTCCGTCCACGAATGGTCAACGTCTGAAATCTTTCCTCACACACAATGCATGATATTCATGTCGCGTTAAAACCGAAACACAGTCACTCATATACCATTAATAAAAAGTAGGGCTATCCATTTTTTCGAGCATACCACTAGCCACTGCCAATGCATATGGGAAAAGGTAATATATATCCATACAGATGGAACATTTCCAGATAAATGGAATAAATTGTCACATTTTCCCTTAATTTCTCTTCATCATTTGTTTTCTCCTTGCCTTCATCATTTGCATTTTATGAGTCTTGTAATCCAATATCCCCTACTTTTTTTTGAATGGTATACCTGTCAGAAAGACTGATACATTTTAGCTGCACTTCAATTAATATGTCCCAATGTAGGCACTGTACTTACCATGTACATAGCAGTCATCAGTCTACAATGTCAGACTTGATTATGTTTGTGCGTTGTTTAATCCAATGGTCAACATCATTATTGACCTACGCAAGTTGGATACGATGTGCAACGTCAGTACATAATATGATGCATGTGGCGTGTTGCTCATTACTCAGTGCAGATTAGTTTACTGAAGTTTACGTATTCATGATTTCGCATTTTGGTAAACATCCTTTAAGGCAATTTGAAACTAACACATGATTTGCTTGTCACGACCAAGATTGTGATAAATATGATTTGTTTGTCACGACCAAGATTGTAATGAAAATGATTTGGTTGTCACGACCAAGATTGTGATAAATATGATGGGGTAGGCGTAATGACGAAGGGGGGGGGGGGATAAGGTAAATTTTAATCCTGATTTAATACCATTTTAAAACATTAAACACTAGACAGAAAATTATCAGATGATGTCTCATTAAAGTGTATTGCTTTGCAGATTGTACATGACGAGAGAGAGAGAGAGAGAGAGAGAGAGAGAGAGAGAGAGAGAGAGAGAGAGAGAGAGAGAGAGAGAGAGAGAGAGAGAGAGAGAGAGAGAGAGAGAGAGAGAGAGAGAGAGCATGTTTAACATGTGTTTCTGTTAAACATTAAACATTATTTTTGTTCTGTGTTGTTACTATCAATATCATCAAGATAATAACTCAGCCTGTAGTCTTGGTTAAAATAAATGTGTATAACTACATGTTTGATATTTCCTTCTTTTTTTTCTTTCCTTTTCTTTTTTTTTGGGACGATTAGAATATGTGTATTTTCATAATTGCTCTTATCAGCCATTAACATTTCTTGCCCAATATAGATGCTGTGAGCAATTTCATAACTTATCAGCACATGTTCTGTATTGTAATATGAGCTGTATCCACAGTAGGGACAAACTATATATGTCAGCTGTATTCTGTTATAATGGGCCGTTGCGGTATAGATGTATATACTGTTGTCAATACTCGACTGATTGTCACATTATAAACACGGCAGACATCCTGTAGTTCCTCCCACGCGTGCTATTCTGGTCAACAACGGGAAATACAGAGGGTAAGGTAGTTAACTTTGGACATGTGTCACGTTATAACTCGTTATATAGTGAATAATGTGAAGTTGGGCACGACATGCACAAGTAGTGCAGCTCTTCGTTAATCTATATTTACCGTTGCCATTGGTAGTGTTGCGTAATGATAAAAAGATGTGTACTCTTACTCATATCAATAAATATGTGTTATTCTTCTGAATCAATAAAATATTTATTGAATTATTTCTTCTGTGTAAATATAATCTTTGAAAATCTATTTCATTAGTCAACTCATCAATGGACTACGCCTCCTGTGGGTACTGGGCTGGGCTGATCCCACTTTCATTGTAGGGATGTGGAAACACCACCTATGTGCACTGAACCATTAATTAATGTGTCTCACAACTGGGAGTTCTCACAAATGGGAGGACACCATTCTTACAGTTCTCAAGGGAAATAGTACACTCTACCATGACAGATCTCAATAACTTTGGGTGTGTTACGACAGGTGCCCGCGTGGACATGATTTGTTAGTAATAGCGCCCAGCACACAATGCGTGTCAAAGGTTACCCACAACATGTTGGTTCGCATGAGTCACGAATAACAACAAACAAATAAAGAGGATGTCATTAGATGTGTATTTTATGTGACACGTTAGTGATGAGCTGTGATTATTCTGTTGGTCGAACATAGCCTACATGAAACGTTTCGTTTTTGTTTGAATGACACTCAATTTATCCATATTATTGCTGCGTGTGAAGGTTCGATTCTGTACAAAACAAACCAATGACTGATATAATGAGCAACCGTTTACTGTGACAGACTATCAACCAGGTCAGCAAACCTGACATCCATTAAGATATAAAACGTCAGTGAAAGGAATGCCCAGTCTTGACAATCCTAATAAACAAGAATCATTCGCCATAAAGGACAAACTAGCTGTTGAAAGTATGTGAAATGACCACTTGTTTCCCCAAAAGGTAAACATGTCCCGCCCTAACGGTAGCACCCGTCATTCACACGGTTTGTCCTAAAAAGTGAACATTGACACCCCAATCATTCGGCTTTAAGTACACTTCATGAGGATTTGCAGTATACCATCAAAAAATGCAAAACAGCGTTTCACCAAAATTTCAAATTCACACTGGAATTACTCAGTGTACTGAAGCGGTTAAACCCCCTTGTAAATAACATTTGCACAACTAATATTGTTATCGTTTGTCACAAGGTACAAGGTATCACATTGCCCTATTCCCCGAGAAGAATCTACATTCTCGAGAAATCAGTACTCGATATGCCCGCAACACTTCAATGGTCATAACCCTATCCTCTCACATATTAAATGTTTCGACAATCTACGTCCTCTAGAAGTGCATACTTTAACCTTCCTGACCAAACATAGGATCCCCCAACCAAAATACATAATCGATACATTTCAGCGTGTCTCAATTTGTGAAGCTATTAGTCTTTGTAAAGTGTCTCATTATATGAAGCCATTAGCTTCTGAGTGAGTGAGTCTAGTTTTACGCTGCTTTAAGCAATATTCCAGCAAAATCACGGCGGGCACACCAGAAATGGGATTCAATAATTGTATCCATGTGGGTAATCGAACCCGGGTCTTTGGCGTGACGAGCGAACGCTTTAACCACTAGGTTAAACCACCGCCACATGAGCTTCTGAAGGGCGTCTTAACTGATATTGAAACTAGCTTCGGCATAGTGCCTCAACTTATGAAGCCATTACCTTCTGCATAGTGCCTCAACTTATGAAGCCATTACCTTCTGCATAGTGCCTCAACTTATGAAGCCATTACCTTCTGCATAGTGCCTCTACTTATGAATCCATTAGCTTCTGCATAGTGCCTCAACTTATGAAGCCATTACCTTCAGCAGAGTGTCTCAAATTTTGAATCCATTACCATCTGCATAGTGCCTCAACTTATGAAGCTATTAGCGCCTGCAGAGTGAAATCATATATATTGTGAAAGTTCCTGTCCCTTTTGACATTGCTGACATCGTGCAGTTTAATGAGTCAAGATCAAGTTGTACCTCTCACCTATTTATATCTATTCCTCGAGAATTATGACTAGAGAGAACAGATATCAAGTATGACCTGTAAGAGCAACGCACCAAGCACGGAATGCTATCCGAATCCGCTCGTCTGACCATTGCTCCTCGGCAAATAGTCGAACAAAGGTCTTTTTGTAGTATTTAGACAATAATATCATGCAAATCCATACTAAGCTTAATATGATATTGAACGAGAACAATCTCTTCACGAAGTGCATATATATCTGGTAACATCATTAAAACTGATCTGACTGTGGTCTTGGTGAGATTATGTGTGAATCAGAGTGCAGTAATCAGGTCCGCTGGAATATTGCTCAAAGCAGCGTAAAACTAAACCCAGTCAGTCAGTACTAATCAGGTAGTTGAGAATGTTTACATAACACGACAATTAGGGATTAAAATCATGACAACACTTGCGTATCAACTTTATTGGGTATTTAACTCTTTGGCCACTTGACAAGCTTACCCCTTGAAAAGTTGTCACGTACAGGAACATTCCTTTTAGGCATACTTTAAATCTAGTGGTTACGGTACTCTTTTCAAAGGATTGGCGTGTTCTCTTCTTATAACCCAGGATATGATTCAGACTGTAAAAATCCCGTCACTGTAGAACGTGGAGGAAAGGAGTTACCACTTATTGATTCAGAGTGTTTTAGGTTTTGCTAAAAACGGCGTAATGCCTTAATCACCCACTCACTCACTCACTCACTTACTCTTCTGTTGGTCACGGTTAATGTTAAATGTACAGTAACTGTATCAATCAAAGGAGAAAGTAAGGACCGAAAACCTTTAAAAGAAAACATCGAGAATTGTTTCCAATCAGTGTTCCATGCGTCTGATATCCCTGTGATCATCATAATGCATCAAATATATAATAAGAATAGTCCATTTATTTTGGGCATTTATCCATGCACATTGCATGCTCAAAGCGCTGACATAGTACCACTGGTCCACGAGTACAGAACACTTCCTGTGGAGAATACAACCGGTCGCCTGTCAGGCGCTCAAGGTTCAAATTCAAACTACCATCGTATCATACCAGGTGCCCAATTTTCTGCCTGATGAACAGAGGCAATTTTGAACATGTGTTTCGTGATGAGGGCAACACACCATGACCTGTTACGTTTATGGAATACGCAAAACAGAATAC